TTCTAACTGGGACGTCAATAAAGCATTACATAAGTAGAGTGTTTAGCATAAAACCTTTATTCATAGAACGAAAATAGAACAGTTATTACATCGCCTAGAATGGGCGTGGGTTGTATTTCTTACGCAGGTTGTTATTTACATGAATACTCTGAGGCGAAAATAAATGAACTTAGCAACTAGAATATTGATTTCTCTAACGTTAACTGTGCCCTCGGTATAAAAACAATAAAGCTGAAAAAAAAACGGAAAAGCGAATATGTCGATCACGCAGTCTTTGTACGCCGCGATGTGAGCAAACACAATTGATGTGAATAAACAGTAATTATAATAGGTAGTATACTACTATTCATTTTTAACCCTTGCGTAGAAGGGATTTTTTTCAAACACTTCTTAAGTTTTAGACAAGGTACTTATTAAATAATATATTATAATAAAACACTTTACTGTACAAACAAATAAAATACAAATATAGTACTATTAAATTAATTATTTACATAAAAGAGTTAGTGCAGACGCGGCGTTATCGCCTATGGCGATTACTTCCAGGCAATTTTTGTATAAAGAAAATAAAAACAATTTTTTTACTACGGCCCAACGTTTCGGATACTTTGCAGATATTCGCGTTTAGAGTGGTTCTGAGAGTTTTATTTCAATGTGTAGTCGCGTAAACTACAAACTAGGAAAATATTTGTCACCAAAAAATGTACATTATAGTCAATCGATGTTAAACTTAATAGGCTTTCAAGGTGGTGATGACTTGGAAATTACCGTTTTCTCTAAGTCGGTATATATTTAATTAATTTATCAAACAAGCAATAAAACCGAGTTGAATATAAGTTTTAAAATATATAATATTCTTTAAACTGAACAATTGTAAAGCGTAGCCTATTACACGATTACATATGATCTCAAGAAAACAATGAAAAATCGAAAAGCATGTACAAGGACGAACAGAACAATGGCGTGGTGGTGGTGAATGGTGCAGTGTGTCAAAACGATCGGATATCAAGAGCGTGAAGCGTGAAAGCACCTGACCATATAGCTTTTGTTTTACTCGAAACGTGGGTTAAATGACAACCAGCTAGAGAAACGCGCTTGACAAATGCACCGCCATAATTATTTATAACAGGCTGGTACACTTTCGATAGTAACCCTTATTGGGTAACGTGTGGTGTAGACGTGGAGCCCGGGACACTATTTATATGATTACGTAAAGGAATGTGAAAACTAGATAGCATAAGAACTAAGTATCTACTTCAGGAGGACTTAAATAAAACCTTATTTATACGTTTTGCAAATGATCTTGAAAAAAGAAAATAACTCCTTTTTTTCGCAGCCTGAGAATCACTTTTGTCTAACTTTGTAGGAAGGAACTTTTTCTATATCATTACAAAAAAAAAAACACTTGGATAACTTAGTCCTTATTTTTCATATTTTTTATGTACAACTGTCCATTTTATATTTACCTACGGGAATATTCCCGGAATAAGAGTCTGTCCCTTTAATATTTTTAGAGTTTTGTATGCAATGGCCTTAGAGCATGCCGCAAATAAAAATCTTTATTTAAATAGACTAATTTGAATCACAAATAAAAACTTAAAATAATAAAATGCCTTTAAAGGGCTAACTAATTCGTACGAAAAATTAAGACATGTAGCAACATTAAAAGGACAGAATCCATTATCACTTTATCACATTAGTTAATTGGTTAATACGTAAAATCAACGGATTCTAGAATTTTCGTAGCAAAGCGGCGAGAAGTGTTCCTGGCTCTCAGACTACAGCGATATAAGGGATGATGGTGATGTATGCGATATACCGTTTTCGTAGACGGCCAGCATTTCTTGTATGGCGGCAGACGCTTTACGACTCTTCGCCTCGCACATATTCATACGGATGCGGTACGAACTGAACTGAGCGATGGCTCAGCGGCGAGTCGAACGTGTCACGGTCGCCTAACAGGATTACCTGTTCCACTGCGCAGGTAATGCGAGACATAGATATGGGCCACAAGACCTTAACCGGCTTATAATATTGTCGGGATTATGAGCTGACACGAGAATCATTTCGACCTTTAAAGGTGCTTACGCCCGCTTTACAAAACTAGGCGTTATTAGTAGGATAATGTAGTTAACTTTTATTTTTACAGAAAAACCATTTAAAAGGGATAAATCATTTACACAGGGCATGCATAATATAATATATTATTTTCGTCTATCCTTTGGCCCATGTCCCACATAGAGGGCTTTTACATTTAACCGTTGAACCATAATGGCATTCGGATGTCTGAATTTTACGCTTTTAATACGATTACGAAACGCTTTGAGCTCCTAACCTGACTTGCGAAGGACTTCTTTTATCGCACAAACGGGTAAATATAAAATATTCGGGTAATCTTTTCCTCATGCCGTTACTTTTTCGAATATTACTAAAAATGGTGAAGGTTAAAATATATTTTAACCTTATACAATTTGTGGTTAAAAACCCCGAAATACCTACTTTTAATATTTCTTATCTAAAGTTATGGAACCGGATTTCCGAGTTCAGATATATTGTGAGTAATTTAGTAATGTTTAACACTTAAAAGAGTGATTCATAACTTTCGTCGTTGTAATAGTGTAATTAGGAGATTCCAAAAGCTTTGTTGGCCAGGTAGCTTTTTTTATGAGCTTTTGTAGTTTTTCTATGATGCTTAATTATTGGGTGACATTCTATATAATATATTGAAAATATTTAAGTGTAACTTCATTATAAAGTTCCACCACTCCTTTCAATCTTTAAATAATGCAAATCTCATAGATAGAAATAAATTACGATTCCCCGAAAATCGAACCGGTAGACTGGCTCTACCGGTTCTAGGTTCGACACAATCGAAGCATCATGTCAAGAGATTGACTTCGCAGTAAAAATATATGTCAAGTGATTAAATCCGTTTTAGTACGTTAAGATTTGAAGCACGAGAACTATTTTCTCACTTAGGTACCGAGTTGAATATTTTCAAGATTTTATTTTCTTTTCTTGAAAAGATGACGGCTCGGGTCAGCGATAATTGCAGGTCGCGTTGAAAGGTAAGCCACTTAGCATAGTAGTTAGTAGCAGTAGGCCTGTACGACTTGTTTAAAACCCTAGCTATTATGCACTGTGTACACAGCGGATTGCAGTCTTTAAATCCTGGTGATAGGACTTTTGTGGTTATTATTTTCTATTTGGGACTTTAAGGTGGATAAGTCCACGTCCAGTCCAGAGACTAACCATTTGAACAATCTCCCCAAGTTTTGGAGAGACTTTAAGTCATGGTTTATTAACATCGTACATAACGCATTTCCCAGCATTGTGTTAAGCGCGAGAGGTCCTGGGTTCGAATCCCAGGGATACGAAAAAATTGTTTCGGTCTGTTGCTGTTAAAGAACGGATTAGTGAAACGAATACAAAAAATGTTCCTCCCATGCCCTAAGAGGGGGAAAGGGGATTTCGTTTATTATTAATATCGATTAATTTACCTAGTGTTTAATGGTTAAGATCGGACGTCTTTTTTTTTGTATATCAAAGAAAAGCACGCGCACGAGTCGATAGTTTCTATCTGTAAATTTATCAAACTAAGTATTGTATTTTACCCTTATACATATTAGGATTGTATAAAACAATCGTGTATCGTAATGTACTAAAACAAAAATTCAATAACGTGTTTTCGTTTAATTACTCAAAACTCAAACTGTCAAATAAAAAAATGGTTTTTCCGATGATTTAAAAATAATCATTTTCCAATAGAGTTACCATGCACAATATAAAAATATGCAGTTTTTGCAAAACAAAATGATAAGATAATGGAGGTTAATAAAAATGAAACATCTACATAAATCACAATTACATACAGCAAACAGGTAATTAAAATTATAACAAAAGGAAAATTAGCAATTTATATGGATATTACGACTGAACTGGCTGATGATGAAATGTTTTTTTTTTTAATGAAATGTTAAATTCATTTATTAAATTATTTACTTGCATAGTACTCTATTATTTTTCATTATCTAGTTTCAAATACCGTGATCTTACTATCAATTGAACGATTGTTTTATAATTACACTGGGCTCTGTTTACGTAATTTCAATCTCTTTCCTATTGACCAGGTAAATCTATTATGTACTGTAATTATTATTAATGAAGTTATCGATAAGGAAGTAGGTAGATGTTATTGTACAGTCATGTTACCGTTTAAAAATAGTACCTAAAAAACTTGAGTTTAATTTATTTTTAAGGCATTGTTTTTTTAAACGAATTTCTTCTCAACGCTAATAACTTTGGTGCTAATTAGACATTTAGTATTTCTTAACTCGTATTTCTCTTAAATACATAAACAGTACCCTAAAAAGCATACTACATACAAAATTAGATAAAGAGTTACTAACCAAGTAACCAATATTTATATCATTATACTTTGAAATCGATAAACTATACAATAATTACATACCTCAAATAATCACGAAAGCTCCTAGAAGAATAAACACGTTTCTTTTATTCAGATAAATTTCGGGATTTACGCGTCTCTCAAAAATCCGCTACAGCGTTAAGAAATAAGAACACCACGCACAACGAACCAAGTCCCAAACTCCGGTTTGATTGATAAACAAAACTTGATGCAGCGCGCGCATTTTTCCCGATGGAGTTGCCATTTCACAAAATAATAACACATAGATAATACCATAAAATCGATAGTCTGTCCTGCATCAATAGAAGTATAAAATAATATGTAATTTTACCGGAGCAGGCACGTTAAGAGTTCAGCAACAAAAGATTTCAGGTGACTGTGATAGTAACTTGTAGCATCTATAAATTGTCCAATACTTGTTTTTAAGTTATCTGTGAAACATTGACACTTTCATGAAATTCATGTGACAGTGACGTTTATTTAGATTTTCGCTAATCGCCAGGGTGCCGATTTTCCCTTAGAAATAACGATTTATTGAATTAATAACAATACACGACACTTAATAATAATTATGGGTTATAAATTCCTTAAACTTGCTTCTTCGCCCTTCCGGGTAAGTTTGAAAATTTTTCATTAGATAAATGTAGCATGACACGAGAGAACAATATGTAGATTATGCAATCTATTTTTAAAATTAAAATAATAATAAATTAAGTGTTTGAATTATGATTAGTTATCTAAACTCTTAACAGCATAAAACAGTATGCAATTTATGTGTTTCCTCTTAAAAAATATCATTAATGACAATTAATCAGTGCACTTCTGCAGTTCCTGACCTTCAAACATGTGACTGAATGTCAGAAACTGGAAAAAAAAACCTAACCCTAAGTTGAAATTGTATTTCGCCATAAATAGGTATTTTATTCTTATGTTATATTTTACCACTGTTCAACAACTTAGTAATAATATTATTTATATTTTAATAATCATTCTTGTAAACAATTTAAATTACAGAGTAGCAACTTAAGGATTGCCGTCAGACAGTACTCTTCTGCACATGAGGCTGATGTTGTAGTGATTGGATCGGGCCCTGGCGGTTATGTAGCTGCTATAAAAGCTGCACAGTTAGGATTCAAGGCAAGTTATCTATCTTATGTATGAAATTGAGTGAAATTGAGATTAAAATTCTAAGGATTTTGTATCACTACCTATTTGTTTGTCATAATTAGGGATAGGTCATTTTCTCACTAGTAAATAGTATAAGTTACTACTTATATAAATAATAATATGTAGTAACATTATTTTTCAGACTATTTCAGTGGAGAAAGATCCCACCCTTGGTGGTACTTGTTTGAATGTAGGATGTATCCCATCAAAGGCTTTGTTGCACAACTCTCATCTGTACCATATGGCTCAACACGACTTCAAACATCGAGGAATCGAAACTGGCAATGTGACCTATAACTTTGATACTATGATGTCATACAAGTCAAATGCTGTGAAAGCTTTGACTGGTGGTATTGCTATGCTCTTCAATAAAAATAAGGTAAGGTAATGAAACAAGTACAGCAGTGTGCAGCTATGTATTCCAATATTAATACTTATTTAAAAATTAACTCATGAAATTTGGATGGGACTGACCTACAATCTACTATGTTGTTAGTGGGTTTGGAATTCCTTCTTTGTCATAGATTTCTTTGACTTGAATAAAAAAAACTCTGTAAAACGAAATTTATCTGTAACTTTTTTATTACTTTATTGGGTTATTATAGGTATGTTTGTGCAATAACATAATCTTATGAGATAACTTATAACTTCAATATACTAGATAACTATAGAATCTTAATTACGCAGGTGAAATTAGTACGCGGAGTGGGTTCAATAACTGCCCCAAACAAGGTGGAAGTAAAGGGTGAGAAAGGAGTGGAGACGATAAACGCTAAGAACATTATCATTGCAACTGGTTCTGAAGTTACACCGTTCCCTGGTGTTACTGTGAGTATCAATCAGTGGTTGTATAAACAGAGCTATATGGGGGGTCAAAGCGTAGGTATTATGAGAAATAATGTTAGAGATTTATATAGACAGTTTTATTATTTTAAAATACAATACAGACATGCTTTAGTAAGATTTTATTTAAAAAATGAAAACTGTGACTGAGATAATTTTATTGAATTAGGCGATATTTATTTAATATTCGTTTTGTTGCATTGTAATTAAAATTTCGATAATATATTATCAAATTTTTAATAATATCACATATTTTTTCATGAAGATCATGGCCATTTAAGTGTCTGATAAACACATTATCATGTTCATTCATTTGCAAATAGATAAGACTCGCATCGTTTATTTTTATATTACGTATATAGGCTTTAGCACTACAGCACTAATTGTAACAATATATGAATTAACAATTTGATAATAATGTGATAATAATATAATTGCAATTTAATCGCTACTTAATGAAAGTGCAATTCATTTCCTCTAGGGCGAACATATTTTGGTGCTTAATTCAAATTTTACCTACAGGAAAATAGTCATCTATCTAAAACAATATATATATATACATATATACTTTTACTGGGATTCAAACCCAGGACTATGCTTAAATCAATAATCTACATGTTGAAACTATTACGCTATTTAGGCAATTTATAATGTTAAAATAATAAATTTTAATAGTAATAATTATTAAAATTTATTATTTTTTTTGGTCTAACTATTATAATTATTAATTAAGTAATAATTATATTAGTTAGACTAAAAAAATAGTAGAATTCACTCCTCCTCCTTTTCATGAGGTTTGAATTACTGTATTTGTATGTATGCTCAAATTATTCTTAAATGGATGGATTATCAAGAAGTTGTTTTTATTTTACGTTAATTAGATCTTAATTTATATATATATCCTACTTACCTAATTTACTTCTCCATTCAGTTTGACGAACAGCAAATCATCACATCGACCGGTGCACTCTCACTATCAAAGGTTCCGAAAAAGATGTTGGTTATTGGGGCTGGTGTGATTGGTCTAGAGTTAGGCTCTGTATACCAGAGGCTTGGCTCTGACGTCACTGCTATTGAGTTTCTTGATAGCATTGGAGGTAAGTGTTGTATCCTTAACTAATAATTGTTATATACACTTTCGAATCACACACAAACACTAAGAGGGTAATATAATAAATATTAATAAAAACAGTTACACCAATAAGTGAAAGAACAATCATAGAAATTGTACATATATACAATATTGGCTCATATAGTATTTTAACTAAGTGGATGTGATATTGTATAGAAATACTAATATTAGTTTGTAAAAATTGTATATTATAGCAGTTTGTCCACAAATTCATGTTTAACAGTCATATTGGACTTTTATTTAATTCTTATTTCAATAAATAGGAGTTGGTATTGACGGAGAGGTCTCCAAGACCTTACAGAAGATCCTTGCCAAGCAAGGCATGAAGTTCAAGTTGGGCACCAAAGTGACTGCTGTCAAGAAGGAGGGTGGCGGCGTTAAGGTTGATGTGGAAGCAGCTAAGGGTGGCAACAAGGAGACAGTAAGTTCATTTACTAAAACTTTGACTATATGAAGTAATATTAATATGTTCATTATTAAAGTTTTATATGTATGATTTATTTGAATAATTTATCCTGTCTTGTGTGTGCTTGTAAAAAAATCTTATTATAATTGTTTAAATTATGTAAAATTTGCAAAAATATTTAATACTAGCAAGGATGATTGATTCGAATGTTTTTTTTAAGCTAGGACTTGTCGCACTAAACACTTAACAATTCACAGTATAATACGTTGAGGGAGGTAGTCAAGGATGTTTCTTGTTACAATGTAATCCACAGTTGGTTTAAAGATTTAACGGTTTAAAACGGCGTTATATATTAGGATATTTCGGATGCAGCATAGCTGCAGCCCTGTGGCCTTTGAAAGGTCCGAGCGTAGTTAAGATATATCCACTACTTTGCTTTGTAAACCAATGCAATACGTAATCCATTGTTTTTAGATGAACTGCGACGTAGTCTTGATCTCCATCGGTCGTCGTCCATTCACAAAGGATCTTGGGTTGGACAAAGTTGGCATCGCTTTGGATGACCGCGGTCGGGTGCCAGTCAACAACAAGTTCCAAACCACTGTACCTGGGTATTTTATATAGTATTTTTACATGTTACAGTTACAATCTACATTGGTTTTGACTTTATAGTAGATTAGTAAAACCTAGACTTGTTGATAATTAAAATACAGAAAAACCTAAAAAATTTTAGATTTCAGATATTAAGCATTACTATAAACAAAAACTTTTAACTAATAGGTCGATAGCGCATAGTTGAGATGGTATATACCTAGTTACTTTCAATGTAGTAATATAGTAACTATTCAACTTCATAATCAAAATAATATTACACTTTTCATTTTATTAACTACTTTTAGCATAGTGCAATTATTCGTAATTTAATTACTACGCATACTTATTACATAAATACTTTTTTCAGTATCTTTGCTATTGGTGACGTCATCCATGGCCCAATGTTAGCACACAAAGCTGAAGACGAAGGTATTGTGTGCGTCGAGGGAATTAAGGTATAGTTCCTATAATATTTTCTAATAGTAGTAGTTGTACAGTCTGTAGTAAATTTAGTTACAACACAGCCACTAGATGTCGTTGGTTAAGTGGGTTGTTAGCTAACATCCCGGTGAGAAAGCGTTTTCGTTAAAACGTAAAATGTTATTATTTAAGTATCTGTTTAACAGTAGTATACGCATTTAAATATAATCTTATAACTGTTTATAACGACACAGTGGCCTCGGTGGGGATCAAACCCATAAGCCGTCTTTTACAAGCAATATTTTGCTATCATCAACAAAATTCTCTTGTAGATTAAATTAGTAACATATGCACAATGATTTGCAGGGTATGCCGGTGCATTTCAACTACGATGCCATTCCGTCAGTCATTTACACATCACCAGAGGTCGGCTGGGTCGGCAAGTCAGAGGAGGATCTTAAAAAAGAGGTTTGTGTTATAGAAAATCAGAATTATTATTTCTTCATGATAAATGAAAACAGACCCCCAGGCTTGTCTGATGATAGGTGAAATACCAGCCATATAAGTTACAAGATATTTTGTCGACCAACTTAGGAATTTAATCTATAGATTCCCGAATATGCATCCTCTATCATAATTATTTTAACATTGTGGTTCAAGGCTGCAAAGCCCCCGAAACGACGGTCCGTAGTAAAAATAAAGTAAATTTAAGTTGAACATACATTTCGCGTTTTAACGCTAAAAGTGGTTTATTTAAATGCAGAAGTTATTATTGTTTTGAAACACTAAAAATTTGGCCGATAAACCTATAAGTTCTACGAATGTATTTAAAGATGACTAACTTGTACAGGGCAAAGCGTACAAAGTAGGCAAATTCCCGTTCTTGGCGAATTCGCGTGCGAAGACCAACGGCGAACCGGACGGTTTCGTCAAAGTACTAGCGGACAAGGCAACTGACGTCATACTCGGAACACATATCATTGGACCGGTTAGTACATATATGTTATAATCTGAAATCCTCCTATATACATCGAAAATCGATTTAAGATTGAAAAAAATTTAATAGGCTAAAATCAATTTTCAATTTATATAATTTAAAAAGTTACATATTTTCACATGATGATCATGTGAAAATATGTAACTTTTTTGCCCCTTTAGCTTCCTTTTCTTTTTATCCTCTTCTTTGAGATGGGACAAATTTAAAAGATTTTTGGGTTTTTCAATTGCGTTTATTTAAGAGCTACGCGGAAAAAGAGGAAGGCTCGGTTCTTTTATATTCCCGGACCCTTGTACAACTAGAAACTCTACGGAATACAGATACTAACTATTATTTCTTATAGGGAGGCGGTGAACTGATCAACGAGGCTGTGCTTGCGCAGGAATACGGTGCTGCTGCTGAAGATGTAGCGAGAGTGTGCCATGCGCATCCCGTAAGTATTGTTTTAAATTTAAAATGTTATAGATTTAAATTTTTTTTTTTATACAAACCTGGCAATAAGCTAATCGAGTTCAGTCCTCTAAGACATTGTCAATTTCTGATAAAAAAATGTGTTAATTGTTTGTATTAATTATTTAACTATTCAAAACTCTTAATCTAAATAAACACCCTTTTAATATTAGCCCTAATTTTTTTCAGACATGCGCCGAGGCCCTAAGAGAAGCGAATTTGGCCGCGTACATCGGTAAACCTATCAACTTTTAAGTTAATGTATAGTTAATTTATGGGCCCGTTAAGACGTAGATACACCTTTGCTGATCTTGTATGAATCTGATGGGTAAACTGTCGATAAAGAACAAAACACGAGACGAGACTTTTCTTAACTGTTAAATATAATAAAAACCGGTTAAAAAGGACCGGAAAGTTACCGGTTTTGTGATTGCTGTGTTATATATATTTATCTGCAACAGTTTGTGAATATTAATGTTACAAATTAAACAGAAGCAATAGGATACAAATAGGTATTTTATATACAGTGGAATCTTGATGACTCGAATTTCAAGGGAAATGCTAAAAACTTCGAGTTAATGAGTTTTCGACTTAACAAGTATTTCGAGATACAAATTTATTTGTATCTCGGTTGTTTCTTACTATATTTTTTATGGTCATAGCACGTGTACAAGACATAAACAACATAGAAATAGCCTACACCAAACATTCCTTTTGGATTTTATTGCTTTGATTTAGTCCAAGTAAGACGTCATTACAATTTACTAACTTCGACTAACAGTCCCTTTTTGAAATTCGAGTTACAGAGTATAAATCTTATAAAAACATCGCTGGAAATAACATTTTGTTCGAATTACAAAGTCTAATTAATTCGAGATACCGCGTTTTTAGGTTCAGCGGAAGGGAATAGCATTTTTTTTTCGATTTACTTTGAATTTCGACTAAACGAGGTACGAGTTATAGAGGTTCCATTGTAATTGTCTCGTGTTGCGATCTTACTGTCGCCACGTTTAGATAATTTGTGTTGTACCGTGTAATTTATTTATTATGAAAACAGTGAAACTGCCGCGTTTTTGTTCGTAGACGTACTTCATTCCGTTTCCCGCTAAACTTAATTCTACAACTGCATTTACCTCGCGTAAATGTCGTCTATATTTATTGGTGTATTTTTGTTTTGTAAATAGTTTTATGAAACCTTTGTTTTATTTTCGTTCAGAACCTATTATAAAATTAAATAATTTATATCGTATGTCTGTTTTATTTATTAATTTCACACATACAGGACTTTTCAGTTGAACAAGGGGCTCTAGGCCATTAGAAGGATCATGATATACATTACATTTATAAGTGTGTTCAGGTAACATTGAAAAATTATATCATGTTTAGCTACAAAATGATTATCTTAGATAGCATAGATATTTTAGTACAGAACAGGGAACTGGTAAGAACATCAATGTTATTAAATTCAACAATAACTCCAAATAACCATTAAACAAATCCTTTTAAATAATAAAAATGTAAAACGATGCAGTATTGTATTCTAAAATAAACAAAACTTATTAACAACTTCCATTGACTAGATGTTAAAATACAATATAATAAAAATATGATTGGACTATTTTAACAGTAGATATTGCAGTATTGTCTATAGTTTACACAAGCAGCATACAAAAAAATAACAGTTTAAAACATGAAACATTAGGTAACTTATTTTATATTAACTTATAAGTTAAGTTGTATATTTCGCGTTATATCGTTAATAGTGTTTTATTTAAAAGTATATATTGCAAACAAATAAATAGGAACTAAGCTGCCATTTTTACAAAGGTTTAAAACTTAAAAAAAAATATTATATATTAATTGTGTATATATAGTAATAAAATAACAATTCATTGTTAAAAGGCAAGATTTGTAACTACATTGAAAAACTACAACATACATATTCTAATTGAGATATAAAAATACATAGCTACACTTATTTCTTATATACTTTAGTAGACCATGTTAAGTTACTAATACCATGATATTGTTCTAATAATACAAAAAAAAGGCAAAATCACTAGAAAATTAAGACATGATATAAAGATATATTTTTTTTATGTTTAAAATTCATTTATGATTATTTTTAAAGATGGCTATGGCGTCTTTAAGAAAACAAATACTAAGAACTGGAAATATAGTGATACATATAACATTAATGATCATTAAATATTGCATAGCCCACTTTTAGGCCTTAACCAAACCCATGGCACCGACAAGCATGGGATTCACTTAATGGTAGAAATAACCCAGCTCAAGAAGATGCGCTGTCGTCCTATATTCGCATTGGATTCGGAAAAATTAATGACGTACCTACAATTCCATAATAACATGTACCGATCTCAACCCCAGGTGTCCAAAATCTCACTGCACATGTTCAAATAGAACTTGGGTGTCAAAATGTCGTTATATTGTCCACAGTCGTTGGAAAACATGATAGCCGAGGCCATAGCAGTCGCGTCTGATTCCATATACTTCCGTAAAACAGCTTCTAACTCCTCAACGGATAAATTATTCGCAACAAAGAAATCTTTAGCCAGTCGAAAGCAAGTCTCCCACAGTTTAGTATCGATCGGGAACAAGCTCATGCACTTATCGATTGTCTGCGCAGCTCGATTCGATAAATCGATTTCTGAGACGTTAGTAATCGATAGTGGTACGCGTTTAACGCAATACTTCAATTCGTCGCAGCAACACGGCAGACTCGCGAAAAGACTCGAATCGACAATCGAATACGGTTCTTCATTCAATATATTCATCGATATGTCTTTGATACGTTTCGATATCGAGTTGGAGATTATGATTTTTAACTCGTCTCTTTTTCTTGTATCGGAATCGTCTAAATCCTGGTGGGTGAAGTATAGCTGGTCGTCTTGGGGGAAGTTCTTTAGGGTTTTTAACGAGAACTTGAGGCAGTCCGAGTAGTTTTTAGTGTGGTAGGCGAATTTGGCCGCCATGTTGGGGTTTCCAAGGAGTATTTCTTCGTTGACCCAGGGTTTTAATATAAGTATGACGTCATCAGCCCAGGATTTCTTCTTGAAATCCACCATGGAGGATAGAGGGTTTAGCGCTGGTTCGATAGGTTTTCTTTGTAGATCATCGATGGCAAATGGGAACATGATGTCGATTCTATCGACGTACTGGAACAAAAACTTATTGTTGCTGCGACTGGCTGGTATTTTGATGACTCGCTTCGTTGTCTTCATCATGATGACGCGGCTGTTGTTGGTTTCCTTCTCGTTGGTTGCCTGTAATATTAATATACAGGGTTACAGGTTAAGTCGACCTAGGTCGTGGAATCTTTGTTTAATTAGATTACAGTATAGTCATGAACAAAAGAGACAAGACTTCACTAATCATAAAAATATCTTCAATACTAACCTGCAAATGCATATTGCCCGTTGCATAAATCCTTCCATCGTCATCTATATACACTGTGAAGTCCCCACCACATGCGACCAGGGATTTAGTCACCTCCACACTCTCTGCTTCAACGTCTGTGGTCTTGCCTTTTACGTTGTCTGGTTGATGATCTGTTCGTATCTTAACTTCGGACGGTATCTGTACTTGTTTTCTGTCGCCACTTCCTGGAAAATGGTTTCTTTGAGATTAGTAATTCAGGGATATTTTTATATAAATTTTATAATAAGAGACTGGGTTTTAAATATTTATGGATATGATTCTAGTAAAATATATAAAGTATTTGTATGTATCATGGCACATTTTATTAATTTTTAAGGTATGACTCAATGACTAAAAAATTCTACACATTATATGTGTGTCAGTCCTATAGATGAAAGAAGGAGACGAACAGCAATAAACCTTAGCAGTTGTGGACGTCATAAGTTTGGTAGGAAACATATGAATAAAATATTCATTGATAAAAGATAAAATATAATTAATATTTACCCAACTGTCCATCAAAATTCAAGCCCCAAGTATAAATGGTGCCGACGTTATTGATGATACATGAATGGTGCCAACCTGCTGACATCTGAAAAAAAAAATGTGATTTACCACTAGATAACAAATTTCCTTAAATATTGTAAAAAACTTGTAGAAGTGAAATTGATACCTTCTTTATTTCTTTTTTTTGTTGGTAGTGTAGCGGTAGGCACTATCGTTACTCACCAGGGGTCGAATAACTATGGAACGATAAATTCGATCGGGCACGGAACAGAACTCTAACGAATTACTGCGTAAAATATGGTCAGTGGAACAAAAAAATCTAAAATCTAGTATTTCGATTCTTTCTTTTATACAGTCATACCTACATTTTTAAACACGACTAATACACGCGAAAAACCTTTTTAATTGGCGTTATCAGCTAAGTTATCAGCTTAGTAATCGTTAGTTAGCTTAGTAAATAGGGTTGAATCTGTAAAATATTTTCTAGTAAGGTAGATTTTTGTAAACTCGTCAATCAATCACCTTCTTAATCTGGATCGTTACAGATTACTAATATAACGCGCTATTGTGAGTAGAAATTACACCACAAACAATTTTTATGACCTTCATTGACCTCTCGATAGATCACTCGCGTTACTTACGAAAACGAATTTACTTGTCCTTTTGATCTTTCTGAGCCAGCACAATATCAAAGTGGATTTTTCACATTTTTATAACAATATTATAAAATTGTATAGAAAAATCTAACTTAAGAGGAATTACTGATCTATACAGGTCATCGCATTGTTCTTTATCATTTGCGATCTATGTAGTAAGTAGAAACGCCTTATTACTGGCGAAGGAGATTCTAAAAACGCACCTGTACAATCTTCCCGCGTACATTCTGAGTATCGACAAGTTGCGGAACGAGATGTGGGTCTGGGCCGACCATGAGCGGAGAGGAAGCGGGAGCGGTAGCGGGCGTGGACGGCGTAGATGCGCGGCGAGCGTGGGTCGCGCGGACTTGCTGCGGACTGGCACCCCAGCACCATAATTGACCTTTCGATGATAGTGCGAGCTGCATAATAATGTAAGAAGGATTAGAGGAAGATAAGTCAGTACTTGAGAAGTGCAACACCAGATACAGCTACTAATACATTTTTTATGACAGACATATAACACCTAAACAAGACGCGCTGTCGCCCTATTTAGGCTCTGGATATTCGGAAATATTATATCATATAGTAAGTTAGTATAAGGTGGTCGGATGTCGAAAATTTTTTAACTAATATATTTCGTAAGTAACGTCTGCGCGGATCAAACATGAACCATTTTATCGGGTTAAAACGCAAAATATATAATTAAAATCGATATCTGATTTATTTGAACTGCGACCCGACGTTTCGGATGCTGTACAGTAGTCATGGTCACAGTGGGACATCATTTATTTCGTGTTTTAAACTGTCAGAACGGTACTGAGTTATACTTAAAAAATGGATTTATTAATCATAATGGAAATATAGATATGAATCATGAGCTAGTTTTTAATTTATTAAAAAAAGATTAAGCCATTATTATCATGGTAAATATTAGGAATGATAGTATGATCTTTTTCATGTTTCCGAAAACTTACTCTAATATGTCTGAAACAGACAAAAAAGGAGGCATATACATTTACTTACATTATGAAAATATCCAATAGCTATCATCTCTATTGGATCAGTAAGTGCGACGCGAACTGGAAGGGAACTCTTATCCCTCCCCCCCGCCTCCCAACTGACCAAATACCCCCGCCCCGCTCGCCCACACTTCTCCATTCATCATTAACACGACTGTGTGGCAGGCCCCACACCCAACACTTAGGACCTGTTTATGAAAAATAAGTAAAAAACAGAGACAGACTGGACCTTAGAAGAACGATTGGCCATAGTTTACTCAATAGTAGAGCAAAAATTCGCAATTGTAATCCTTGGAATATTTAACAATCACAAAAAAAGATATATTTATTATTTGGGAATCTATATTAAAAAGATTTAGTTACATGTGTTGCCGGTAGTTTTCGTGAGTAGTAAACATTTAAATAAAACTACTATCTTATATTTAGGGGTAAAGTAATAATTTTTTACCTTCCTCCCTTGGAATTTGGTAACGAGTTGTGGTATGCAATGGTCGTCTATACTTCCTAAGCACAGTTGGCCATGTACACCCCACCTAAAAAAATAGGTAAGCAAATATAGTGTATTCTTTTCAGCTTGACACAAGACCACCACTAGAGAACTAGTGATGACCTTTTATAGAGTGAAGTTGTGGCCACAGATGACACAGAGATAAAGAAATATTCATTACATATGGACCAATTTTGGTCCATATATTATATGTATAGTGGATATTTTTTTACCTCAATATAAAAATCACTTTTATGACGACCTTCTTTATATGTTTTATGTCATTATTATTTAACTCGACATAATACGTAATACTTTTGAGCGATCGTGAGTGGCACGTCTACCTTCTATTGTCGTTGACTTTGCTTACATCCGTATATAAATGTCAAACTAAAGAAATTGTAATCTGTACAATCAATGTAAACCCTGTGAGTAAATCACGATTTTAAGTAAATTGTGTGTTTGTTTACCAAAAATGTCAAAGTTAAAAAAGTACACTATGAATTTGGCTCCAAAGTAAAATTGCGGTTAATTCTCGGTCTTACCCCCACGTATAAAGCCTTCCCCCAAGATCAATAGCAGCAGAATGGTAATGTCCAGCTGAAATTGCAGTCAGCGGCGCGTCCCACTTACGACGAACAAGCATCAAAGATCCACTGGCGCTCGCTGAATCTCCAATACCGCCCGCCCAAGAACTTCCTACGCCGAGTTGCCCGTATGAATTGTCTCCTGAGCTATAAATCTACAACAAAAACAGGAAAAGTATTCACACACATGTTTTTTTTTTCATTAAACACAATTTTATAACATAGCTTCGGCAATGCCTCAGATATAAATAAAAAATCGATTTTTGATTAAAAATACATTACGACACGGCATCGTCAGTGTTCCGTGCTGTTGCTCTAACCAATTGAGCTACCGAATCCTACACGTCTACATCATCGAATTTTTTTAACCTACTGAAACACGCACCTCTTGTGCCATGTAATTTCAACCTTAGCATTTGCTAATTAAGATGTTCAACCTTGGTCTGTAGCTGTAAATGTTCAAGTCCTACCCGTGTCGTAAATTTGCTCAATTTAAAAAAATATCGATATGATTTATTTACCCCATTTTCAGTGAGCAGCAGCGTATGATGCCTCCCACAGGCTATGTCCACCACGCAGCCTATTAACTCTGTATCAACTGGTGTATCCACAATCATTATTTTCGCATTTCCTTCATCAGCTATGGCCCAATGACCCAATCCACAAGCCAGAGCGCGTCGGGGTAGAGACTGGTAGCGCCAAGTGTCCGGTTCTTTGTTACACTCTGTGTATATTTCAGGGCAAGGTATTCGCGACTCTATCGCACTTGCAACGTGCATAAATGTAGCTATCAGTTGCAGCATTCTAGTCGCCTAAAAAGAAAATAAAAGATTTTAACATTTAATTCTCTTGTAAACACAGCAGTAGCAGTTAGTAGGAAACTCTTATCTTTTACTTTGCTTTGACTACGGAGTTTCGGTATACAAAAAGTCAACAAGACAAGTCCCTGTCATCAGGTATAACACTTACAGTAATAAATTATCCGTAAAGGTTTAAACGGGAAATATAGAAGATTTCACGATTTAAATTAAAGAGTTTTATTTAATGTAATTCTCGTGAACTACAGAGAATACAAAGGGATAAGTCATTAGCCATTCAAAAATTAAACTGAAACTAATAAACTGATAATAATAACATATATTAAGTTTGACTTTATTCAATAATTACTCACATATATTGAAGTTATTCCTTGTTTCAAATCCCGCATAACTGGACGTAATTGATCTTGCAATGGATTCAGCCATAAGCACAATCGCTGAAACAGTGAAATATTGAAAACTTTATTATTTTTTACATGTTATTGCACATGAAGAACAATATTGGCATCGTTTGAAAATGTTATCAATTTATTTTCGATTTTTAAATTGTACGGTGAAATATTGTTATTGAGTGAAATCCCCTCATTACATTTCCCCGGGATTGGATCCGGACCTCTTACAACGCCAATCAATAGGCAAGACGCTGTAGAAACGTCATTTTTGACTTAAGTGTTACCATGGCGCCATCTATTGGCTACAACGCGCAATTTCACGTTTTTGTTTTCAAAATTGTAAATATCTACTACAACATACCTTCAAGACAATAGTATCGAATTTATTGCATCTCTCCGATATAAAGTCGAAAAGCCACTGTCCATTCTCTTCCAAGAGGATTGGTACCAGACAAGTCTGACTCAAGAGGCAGGTTATAGCGCCTCTACACACATCGCTTCTCGATTTAATAGCGGACAGAAGTAAGTTGGGGTGACCACGGTGTATGCTAAAGACTGGTGCCAACTCCCACAGTCCAATAGCGACTGCTACTGACGTCAGTTCTAATAGACCCGGTGTGCTTAAGTTGGTGAACTTCACGTCCCTAAAGGAATATATCATTGAATAGTCATGTAATGTTTTGTTGTATGTAGGTACTATTGATAGTGACGAATCTTTGGTCTTATGTTAGCATTGTATGACTTGAAAATCAACGTTAGTTTGATCCCCATCGGGTCCAACATAACATAACGAAACATATTGGAGTTTATTTCGAAATGTGGATATAAAAGAGGGGATTGGAATCGGAAATTCCGTTCGGATCACAAACCATACTCCACAGATGGAAAACCATCTATGGAGTATGGCAGTCCTCATAAAAAATGACATATATAGATACTTTACTTACTATTACGTAGATGAGTTACAATTCCGTACTATTCACAATTGCCGAATTAAAGTAGTAAATCTATGATACTTACACTTCAAACTTTTCTTCGCTGTTCGTCCTGATCTTGAGCAATAGAGCCAGAAGCTTCGCCGTTATCGCAGCATTACCAAGGCTCCCTACATTGCCAGTCTGCTTGTACATGGATAGCTCGTGTATACGGCCGAAGACACCTAAGCGAGCGATCCAACCGTCTGGTTGACTCTAAAATAAAATTAAAGGTACAAACAATTACAGTTAATTAAAAATACTTGAAATAAATCGATATATGTATTTTTATTTCATATAACATAGACAAACGGTGGGTTTTACTTTGAAGATAACTCAGTCATATAACAGCGTGACGACTTGACGCGAAATCGTTGCTTAGATATATTATCATATAAATAAATAACCCACATATTTAGGTGTACACTTTTAAATATAACACTTAAACGGTATAAAACGCGAAATATACAGAAATATACGCGAAATATTCTGGAAGAACTCGAATGAGGTTTAGTTGACGCTTTTTTGTGTTAATATGGTTGTAAAGTTTAATAATTTAATAAATAAAATTGACTAATCGATTTGGAGTTTTAAACCGTCGAAGTATTTTGTATCAATGTGTAAAGTAGGTTTCAGACAATACGAGTACTTACATAGCTCTAAGAAGCTACTCCGCGTAAGTTGTAGCTTCTAGCCACGCTTTTATCACATATATTGTGCATAAACATACAAATATATAAGAATCTTTCACCTGTGACAATGAGTAGAGATATTGCGCGGGGGCGATTTTTCCTCGCGACATGAGCATATCAGCAGCAGCGCGCAGTAAAGTCGGCACAGGCGCGGCCAGCGCAGCAGCCGATAGCTCCGCACCAACTCCTCCTCGCATTATCAGGCCGACCAACCATTCGCATGGCTCTAAACTGTAAATTTAAGTAATGTATCATTACTATATTCATGCCCTCAGTGACAAGTTTTTTTTTTTATGTGAACATCGTTATTTGTTTGCATTAGTAATTGTAGGGGAGGTATAGAGGTAAAGAAATAAAGATTTAAACTGTTTGCATCTTTCATTCTCCATAATTTCTAGAAAACTTTTTCATGTATGTATGTACAGTACTAAAACAATCGCTTTTAAATAATAAGGCCAAAGCATGGTAATGGTTACCAATAGCAATTTATTATTTAAGTTTAACTTCAATTTAAGATACCTTTTATAAATACTATTATTGCAAATATTTTAACAGAACTGAACTACTTTATAGGATACTTGGCGTTTAAAAGAATACATTATTGAATATTGAAAAATTATAACAACAAATTTTAGTTTACATTGGATCGAGATATTGGACGACAACACACATAAGTAGAACATTTAAATATTGTCTGTAGTTTACGCGAATAGTACACATTTAAATAAAACACTTTAAGAGTTTAAAAAGTGATAGTTATAATGCGCCATGGGGAGACTGTCTGCCCGTGACTACGGTTGCTGCAAAGCACCCAAAACGTGTGCCCGTAGTTAAAATAATTTCCAAATAAGTTTAACTAATATATCGCGTTTTAAACCGTTAAAGCTTTTTATTTAAAAGTAAAACATTTTCAGTCTTACTGTGCATCTGTATTTAAATAAAAATAAACTACTTACACTGTATTCAAAATATAGGCACCACACGAAGTGATGACTAAGCACGGTTCTAAATTAAACCGAGGTAGTTGCAGGTCACACATAAATGTGGGTTCTCTCCAACCCAAATTTATTGATGATGGTTCTTTAGCATTCATGAGATATGCCTTCTGCACATCTCCTATTACTTCTGCAGCCCATAATTCCGAAAAATCTCTTTTTGTTCCATGGAGTGATTCACCCTATTAAATAAAAAATATATTTAATACTATGTACTTTCAACTGCCATGTTTTTTGTATATACACGTTTTTTAATACAAAACACCTTTCTATTTTATTAATATGTAAGAGGGCATTTAAGGTTCTATCTAATCTATGATGTAAGTGTTACTTTACCTCAACACTCTCACCTCACATCACTCCTACTCTAACTCCCACTCCTATTCCCAAAAAGCCAAAGAAAGTTTCATTGTACTAGCCTCAAAAACCCCGAATTTTTATGCAAACTTTCATCCCTTTTTCCGTATCAAATACCTATCAACCCTTTTTGGCATTAAAAAAAAAAGCCGGACAGACAGACAGACAGAGTTACTTTCGCATTTATAATATTAGTATAGATATATTTAAATCAAATTTACCAATCCAATGTTTCTCTCTTTCCTCAGTGTCAAGTGTACTTAACTTTTACATTCTACATACAAGAAATTACCTGAACAGTTGAAAAATTAGCACTGTGAACTTCAAGTTCATTTTTCCTGATCAAATACATGAGTCTTTGCGACCAGAGTCCTTGAATGTATTGTCCATCTTTTTTTATCAAGGGCCTCAGGGTTCTTGTGGCAACATCTTCGGCTGGGCTTTCCAACTGTAAATAAATAATTATTTATTTCATTGAATCTACAATAGCCCCAGTGATTCCTAAGTATAGACATAATAATGTTGTCCTGACAATTTTGTTATCTTTTAGACTATTACTTACAATTAGTGTTCCTTCATTTAATTCAAAGGCAGTCAAAAAATGTCGGCCGTTAACATACTGAGATGTTAATGTCCAGTTGTTTGAACCTTTGCGGAAGGTTGGTAAATATTCAGTTGGTTTTAAAACATATTCCACCGTCTGTGTTTTGTTTTCATCTGAAATATATATTTTTTGCAAATTAAAATAATACAACAAACAACTAAATTTAAATAAAACCCTACACACTACAGACAGTATACAACACACAACAATAGCAAGACAACATTAATGACGTTCTAATAAAACTTTATTAATGCAAGAATGATTTTAAATAACAAGAGTTTAAAATTACCCTTAGATCCTCCTTGAATAAAAAATGTAATTTTGTCCTTAGACAGTTGTCGTATATAAGACATGAAACTCTCTTTCTTATCTTTGTCACTTTGAGCTCGAGTTTGGGTTAGCCAGTTGTAACCAACTGATCTGTGTTCTAGTATTAACTTCCACTGCTGTGATGGGCCTTTTGATATCTAGGAAACAATTAACAAATATTTTATTAATAAAAAGCAGTCATACACATAATCTTCCAGCGTTCTCTTTGAAAAATTAAACATATTATTCTGATCACTCAAATAGTGAGTGCACCAATGACTTATAATTAGTTAATGTAATTATAATTAAGGAAATATTTGACTAAATTTTGTACCTCCAATACTTACTAGTAATGCCAACAGATCAAGCGAGTCATCAAAACACATCTGCAACTCATTAACTTCTCCATTTACTTTTGTCTCTCCAACAATACTTTGAGATTCTAATGCGTAGAATATTATGCTTCCATTCTGAAATTAACATACAAATAAATAAAAACATTAACACATAAATAAACATGATTCAATGTTACAACAAAAAAAATTATCACTTTTTTTGTACTTAATAGATGATTTTGGCTTATTTTTTATTATAACTCTTAGTTAATCAATTTAAACATTCATTAATTTTAAGTTGAGAAAGATTTAAGCAATTTTAATATCAACATTACCTTGCAACCAATAATAATGATATTTTCTGATTCCTTAGTCAGCCACCATACCACTGATGTCGGCTGAGATATCTCAGGTAATGGTAAAACAGTAACACTGGATAATGACCACTTACAATCAAATGTGTTTTGGGGTATGAAAAGTGGTAAAAACGGCACCAAAAGGACCTTCTGATCACTAACTATGAAGACCCACGTGCCGCTGGGTTCAAAGCACATACAATAAACAGGATTATCCACAAAATCCCAGTCATAAACACTGTCAAATCGCTCCGACTGTGGGTTGATGTACAGGAACATCAATTCTTTGTCACTTGAGAGAGCTAAAAATTTCTTTAAGCCAACTTCGTAAAAGCTGTGGTTCACTATGTCCAAGTGAACAAGAACATCCAACTTAAACAGTCCGGAGAAGTCTAAATTTTCTGTGTGTTGTGACATTTTGGTATAAATTCTACTGACGTATTTAATCAAAACATTCGTTCTTTTGTGTTCAGCGATAGATTGGGTACCAAATGTTGTTTATCCAGCATAACTAAAAAAATAAACATATACTCTAAGATAAACACAGCGTTTAATTATTGGAACTCTTAATACAATTATACACGGACATAACAGGCGCAGTACACAATACTGTCTCTGCTTAAAATACTTAGAGGCTTACATTTATCATTTACATTATATGAGAATTGTTAAGCCGCATCTTGTAATACTAACGGCATAGAATATTTATTATTCTAAATAAATTAATCAATTACAAAATTAAACTTGAAGGTGCAAATAAACGAATGTACGATTGACAACTGACCAACAATTGACCATATTGATTATTGACATGGAGTACAGATAACGCTATAATGCGAAGCCATAACCAAACAGCTGATTGGTGTCAATGTCAATGAAAATAAGAAAATTGTGTCGTAAGAAAAGTGAACGAGGAAAACGCGGATTTTGAACTTAATTTTTTTAGATTGTTCACTGCGAGCACTGAGGAAAATACATATTTATTGTAATTTGCGTTATTGTAGCCATGATTGCTTACGCTCTGACGTGAATCACAAACAAAAATATTGAATTTCTAATTTACGTATGTTTTTAAATTATCATAACATATGATTTTTATAAATTATAAGTTATTAATACAATGTAACGTAATATACGCACAAATAAAAGTGTTATACTTTAAAGACACGTAATATTTTTTTGTGACGACTTGTTCAAAGTAAGTACAAATAAATTACTAGTATATAAAATCCTAAATTTAAATAAATTTAGGATTGAATTATAATTTGCTTCAAATATTATTTTAGAATGTTCGCTGCAAAGAGCTTTATGATCAAGCATGTTATGACTCCTTTGAGACTTCAAAAACGAGGATCATCATCATCTAAATCATCTTTTAATAGAGGAGTACATTTCTTCTTCAAAAAGAATCTTTTATTCACAAATAGCATAACTTCGGGAGGTTTTATGGTAATAGGTGATCTGATACAACAAGAAATTGAAATCCATGGAAACCTCCTACCATCTAGATATGACTGGACACGGACAAGTAATTCAAACCTTATTTTAAAATATTTTTTGTTATGACAAATCCTGTGTTACATTTTTGCCCTAAAGGGTATATAGAAATATACTGTTGACCTTTATAATTTATTGTTTCAGCAAGAATGTTCATAATTGGAACACTTATGGGACCACTTCATCATTTTTATTATATTTATCTTGATAAGCTATTACCCAAAACCGACTTAAAAACAGTTGGTAAGAAGATTTTGAATGACCAGTTACTTGCGTCTCCCGCAACAATATTTTGCTTCTTCTATGGATTAGGGTTTCTAGAAGGAAAGACAATAAAAGAATGTACAGCAGAGGTTAAGGAGAAGTTCACATATGTCTACCTTGTGAGTGTTAAATTGTTTTTTTTAATGCTGTATAATTTGACATGTTTTTAATTTATTTTTTTTATTTTTCAGGGAGACTGTTTATTTTGGCCTCCAATCCAGTATATAAACTTTTGCTATTTACCAACACAATACAGGGTATTTTATATAAATTTTGCCACAATGATTTACAATGTATTTCTATCATTTATGAAACATTATGACCAACCAAAGAAAGTATGATGATAAAAGAAATGTGATAGTATAACTATTTATTTACCTATTGTAATTTATGTTAGCGAAATACGTAGTTAGGTCTATAAAATGGTTCTGATATGACTGTTTTAAAGTATTGTTACTTTTAAAATTTTTGTTATATTTATTTATTAACCAATGATACCTTATTTTATTGTTATTAATAATCTTGGTTCAGTATTAAATATCTCATCTTGTGATACAACAATATAATTGGATAGTTTTCTATTCCAAAAATTATAACAAACATTTATTAGAACATAATTCTGTTAGTTTAAGCATGTTAAATGTTAATGATAAAATGCACAATGCCTTGGTGTAAAATAAAATTTGGTATTTATAATGATGTTCATTTCTTTTCATTTGTCTTCTACTCACTGAATAATTTCGTTGTTGTGAGGAGAAATAAGATCAAGGTAAGCATGACTAAAATATAGAAACTAACCTTGTTTTTCAAGGTCTTTCAGTACTTGTGTAGGTGGAATGATTTATTTTTACTTTTGTAAAGTCACGGGTTTTTCAAGTCGAGAACCAACATCAAAATTACTTACATTATAGGTATAATAGAATAGAAGACAGGTAATTTTTTTGACTCCGTAAATAACGAACGAACAATTTAAATAGAGAGAGAGTCTACTCTGGAGTCTTCGAGACTAGATTGAAATCTTATATTTACTACCATCAACTCTTTGTACCTATTACTATAACTTTTTGTAATGATGAAAAAGCCCACAAATTCGTTTTATACACCATAAAGTATTGTGCATTCCGAAAGATCAGCTAGAGATACAATAAAACACATGAATACTCTTATCAAATGTAATACATAAGTACAGTAGGAACCAAACTACAATTCTACTTAACAATGTGTTGGAAAATATGTGAAAACACATATACTTAATACCATGATATATACCATAAAAACTAGCCCCAACACATCCTCCAGTCATCTTTTCTCGTTTGCAACCTAACTATGATTCGATATAATGCTAGGGCAGGTCCTAATGGGAGTCCGAGGCCCCTAACTATGTCTGCTCGGCGAGCCATACTCAAAGCTTGTCCATCAAACTCCTGTAAAAAAAGATTCAATTCAAAATATATGCTAGTTTATATACCTACATAATGATATATGTGAAATTAAAATTGTGGTTAAAGTTAAATAAGATACTTTTAAGAACTTTATCATTAAAAAAAATAAATACTTATCAATAGCCATAGATTTAATAAGATTTTTAACATATAGAACTAAATTGTAAGTTCCAAATTTTAACTAAAACAATTTGAGTATTGAAGACACAATATATACCTGATCTCTCAATATGGGAGCAGCCTCTGATAGATGCTCCATAAAATAATCATACACATCATCAACACTCCAACTTGATATATCCGGTATACTTGTGTCTATTGGTACATCTTCAGCTATCTTCGCAGCAGCCCTATCAATTTCGTGGGGCTTTAAAAATGGATCAATGCTTGGTGAGGTTTTTGCATTACAGTCTATGTTATTTGGTACAATGGGCGGTGATACAACAAATGAAGGTCGTGATTCTAAACAGTTTGTACACTCCCATTGATCCCAGGCTTTCAGTCTTTCTGGTATTCTTGGGGAATGACAAAGAGAATGGTAGGCATCTGAACATATACTACACACTGTTAATATACCCTGAAACAGAAATTTATGTGATCTGAGTATACTATTTAATATTATTTATTTGGTTGTATTTAATCATATTTTTATATTATGTTTTAATGGCGCCGAAATTAGTAGTATTTTAAAGAGGCAATAGTTTGCTGATGTTTTTTCTTTAATAGGCTTTCATTCACATGAAAAAATTCATTGATGTGATTTTTAAATTTCTATTAATCTTAATATTTCCTATCACTCAACTAGTATTTCTTTACTTACAGCATCATTAGTCTCACAGCACACAACACATGTCTTGCAATGTGGACATTGCCATGTGTTGTCTGGACGTGGCTTTAGAATACCGGAACCAGACTGGAGACAGCTTAAATGAGCTTTATTATTACAGTCTCTACACTCGACAAGACGGTCATTAGAACCACGCGACTTTTGGACCAAACAGACAGAACAAATACCACTTGAGCGGGTGGTTGTCTCATGAGGTTGCTCTTCTTCCATTTCTTCACCACTTCCCTCTAAAGACTGCTGGCTTTCAGATAGGGGTGTGCCTTCCTTATCAACTTTTCCAGCTATCATCATCCTTTTCTTAATAGTACTTTTATTTAAAGAACCAACTGGTCTACCCCTCTTTCGTTTACTTGGCACATTATTATCAGATGGATCAAAAACTTTCTTTGCCATTTTTCGTCTTTCACCAACTCGTACACCGGAGCTTTGTTTTGAATTTGAGTTAGCACTACTTGTAGGCTCTCCTGGCCTCTTTCTGGGACGACCTCGACTGCGCTGTGGAGATGATCTGCATGAGGAATTAGCTGATGATGTCATCTGAAAGTTGATGTTTATAACCGACTTTAAACTTTTACTTTCAGATTTTAAATTATATTATTAAGTATAATTCTATACAATGTAACCTGTACTTCTAGTGCAAAAAAATTAATAATGCCAACAGATTTAATCAAACTATCTTTAAATTTTACTTACTTTTGTATTATTGTCATGATATTCAAATTTAAAGCTGTCCGAGCTATCAGCATCATGATCTGCAGGACCCAAAGCTAATGCTCCATTAGGCAGCTTTACCAAACTACCCAATGACAATTCTTTATTGATTATTGACTCAAGTTGTTTTTTAGAATAATTCCTTGGCTCTTGGGAAGCAGCCACTTTGACTAGTTCATCAAATGCAATGCCATTTTCTAAATAATTTTGATCTTTGAAGATCAAAGTCGCGATAGCAGAAGTAATGATTCGTCGCTCATTAGTTGCTACTGCAGAACTCATTGCTAAAAATATATCATAAATTAATAAAGTACATTAACAGTTTTATATAAGTTTTAAAAAATTTAGGACTTACTATTATTTTGCGTTGTTTTCCTTCTCCACTTAGCTGCGTTTCTATAACTTACATTATCTTTGTAATCAACTTTGTATATACTTCTTTCTTTTAAACAACGTTTTAAATCAGCCTTTGTATCTTTTGGAGCTACTTTGTAACATTTAAGCATAAATTTACAAATTCTCCCTATATCTGGTCGTGATTTTCGTGCGCGTAAATGATCAATTGCTGCTAAAATTTGATTTTTATACTTTATCTCTGACATTTCTAAAACAAAAAACGTAATTAGGGCGAACATTTCATGTTAAAAATATATAACACGGAAATATCTTTACGCACTTACCTATTCAAAATCATACCGAAGATTTTGAAATATTCTATCGCTATACGTCGTAAACAATAAAACACTTGCAGTAATGAAGAGTTAGATTAATTATCAAATTATAGTTTTAAAAGTTTTAAGTCCCAAATTATGCTAATTGCTCACAGGGAAAGTCTAAAAATATTTTATTTTAAGTTATTGATATAAAATAATGCACTCTTCGAAAACTTATGGAAAGTGACAGTAAAGAGTTATTAGTAACACTCTTACATTAAAATGCGTATTTATTTTTATATAGTACGCAATGTAATTAAACTAAATATATTTAGACACTAATAAAGATTTTTTTGCTACGAAATATTAAAGTATCGTTTCATTACAGTCATAACCAAGTTTAACTATACATCGACAGCAGAAGTCAGTGACTACGAACTGTAGATAAATGATAATAATATATATTTTATCTGTGATGGTTATGCATTCTTGAAAATTAAAACGTCAATTTCGTTATAATTTGCAGTGTTTTGATTTTTATATATTAACTACAATAATGTTTTATGAATGTAACTATATTGCAAGGAAAATTAAAACGCTGTCTCAATGATAGTAGATTGTGAAAATTTAATGTAAATAACTTCCTAACCTAATTATATGATGGCCGTAATAATGGAACGGAATTTTCTACCTGTAATATTTCGAATATCACTAAGAACATCTCTTTTGAGAAAGTTATACTCAACGAAAACGCATCAATATGAAAAGAGTATCGGAAATGTTGTAAACGCTGCAATAATTGGAGCTCCGAATTCAGGCAAAAGTACTCTCATAAATAAGATTATAGAACGTAAGGTAATTAATTCATACATACATACTTACTTTTTATCCAATGTCGCAAATACTTATAGTATTTTACAATTGTAGGTCTGTGCTACATCAAACAAGGTACATACAACCACAAAACTTGCAAGAGCTATTTGTTTTGAAAATGACACTCAAATTATATTCTTGGATACACCTGGTGTAATTACTGATAAAGAGAAAAACAGGTAATGTAGTACGTTCTGATAACAATACAGGTAAATAAATTTAATCAAACAATTAATTAAAATATATTATATTCTTTTTTACAAGTGCTATATATAGTATATATTATTTAAAGTTCTGCTTTAGTTTTGATAATAAAGAGTCTTTTCAGATACAAATTGGCCGAGTCTATGAGGCAAGCCTGCAAGAAAAGCTTAAATTGTGCAGATGTCATTGGTGTAGTCCACGATGTTTCAAATAGATATACAAAAGACAAACTACACCCAACAGTTCTTGAAATGCTGAATATGGTTTCAAATATCCCCAGCTTCTTAATTATAAATAAGGTAAATTAATCAAAGATTTAATTATGTTGTTATAATATTTTGCCATGATCTTATAATGAAGAATGGTTTCAGTTTATAGAGATAAAGAAGAGGTTTGTTAAAACAAATTTAGACACCGAAAATATCCATTCTTTGCAAACGAAGTTACTGACACAGCTAGTATTACTATATTTTATATATGTGCAATCTTATAAGTTACTGAACCATCTGAAAATAGGACAATGCGACATTTAGTTTCCATGTAGTAGTTCAAATTGAGTTGTTTTTCTATCTATTATTATTACAATCAGTTGATAAAACAAACATTCAAATGTAACTGCCCCTTGTCCCATGTTCCCATCATTCTGCTGTTAAATGTCTCATTCTAGTGATATCTTTTACCAAGGTTGATTTATTAAAATCAAAGAAGCAACTGCTAGACATCATAAGAAATTTAACAAATGGAGTAATCGCTGGCAACCCAGTACCTAACACTTCTAAGATACAAAAACCTTTACTTGGCTATGGATGTTTTTCTGATGTCTTTCTCGTGTCTGCCTTGAATGGTGATGGAGTAAAAGATATTAAGGTAAGGCTAATTTAAAAAAAAGACTGCTGATAGCCTTTCTATTTTTGTTTGTTTAAAGGTTGATAAATATTTTTTCTGGTTTCACACAAGACTGTAAATTTGAAAAGCCATATATACTTTCAAATCCAAGTATAACATCAAGCTAGATTTAAGAATATACATTTTTTAAGATCTAAAACAAACTATATTGTTATTAACCTATGTAAAAATATTTATTTATGTACCAGGATTATCTGAAAACCAACTCGAGGTTACGTAAATTGGAATACTCCTCGGATGAATGGACAGATCAACCTACGGAATCGCTGATAGAAGAAGCGACTAGGGCGAAGTTCCTTGATTTTCTATCACAAGAATTACCATATACTTTGGAGACGAGACTAGAATACTTTGATGATAATGAGGCTGAAGGAAAGGTGACCTGTTCGGTGTCTGTTGAATGTCCTTCAGACAGAATTGTGAAGTTAATAGCTGGAGCGGGTGGTGGTCGTCTCCAGCAAATTAAGTCTTCCTTAAGAAGTGATCTTGTGGATATGATAAAGAAACCGGTATCGTTAGACATCAATTTAATAGCTAAAAGAAAACCTTCTAGTAAACAAGTATGAATATAATTGTATAAGTAACAAATTGTAAATTTAAATAAATAACTTATAATAATTGTTGATATTTTTACTATCTATTATCAGGCCTCAAAATTTCAACAAAAGTTTATAGTCGGGTAAAACATAAATACCTGGATATTTTCTTTCAATCCGCCTCTATGGCTCAATAGTTAAACGCAAGAAGTATTAGGTTCTTATCTCAAGGAAATAAATTGTGGGTAGGTAAGTGTAAACCCAAGCAGGAGAAACAGTTATCAGTTTTCCCCATCATAATAAGCTGGAGGAGGCAGTAGCGGTCATGACGAAGGACGTGAACCAGCGATGCAACTTTGCGCTGCTTGATAGTCCTTAGCAGCATTTTTGTCATCCCAGTGCGTAGAAGGATCACATTGTTTGATCTTTGGATCCAACTGATCCGAAGCATGCGACGATAACACCACATCTCAAATGCTGTTACTAAAACTGATCAATAAAATATTATTAGTATTTTTCATATAAAGGCATCCCATTCACCAACAGATTCTTAGATTTATTGGGTCACGGTTTTAAAAATAAAACACAAAAATGGTGGTCTCCGCGGACACTTACCAATTAAATAGTGAATATTCTGGTTTAATGCAAGCATGATAATTATGCGGTAAATATTTCTGTGACCTGTATAAATGTAACACTTCCAGTCTATGGACCGTGTCGCGTCGCGGCCGCACGAGATTCTTTTCAAATCGTCTTCGAGTTGGCCTCAATCCGCTCTGAAATCGCTACCGTTGTCTGAATAGTTCGGGAAGGTTTAATCTTTTCACTGCTCTATAGATCAGATTCTGGAACTAATCCAATAAGGCATCCATGTTCGTCCTTGTTAGCCACGAGTTTTATTAGGCTCGTATTTTAAATCTAACTTCACAAACGGGTTTTAAACGAATCTATAACGATGCGAGCTGTTGACGACCAAACAAATGAGCCATATCGTCAAATTCTTTAGATAAAGAATATTAAGGTATTTATTGTAGAATTCGTAAAAAAATAAAGCTAAAATTAGTATTTAAATAAAACACTGAAATATAGCAGTTAACTTAGGTATATAGGTAGGTACCACTATTGAACAACAAATCACCTTCAGTGACCTTCCGAAACGAGCAGTAGTAGTAACTAAATCCATTGATCGAGCTTCATTATAAATGCCTCGTCATCAAGTCTGATTCCCTTTCCAAATAATAAAAAAAACGTGTGTGTAGCTTTTAACCATTGCGTAAAACACATTTAAAATTCAGGATTATTTGACGAAGTGTACGCAAAACAAGGCGGCTGGGTTGTAAAAACAAACACCTAAAAGGGTTTAAGAGTAAACAATGTCAAATCAACGAGTTAGGATTTATTTGAAAGGAAATATCGGCGATGAGCAAACATGTCTTTTACAAGACCGGGCTAGTTCATTGGAGTCGAAAATGTTAGTTGATTTTTGAGATTCACGGTTGGATGCGTCGAAATAGGAAAATGAGAGAATATTTTGCTGTCTCGACCTTTCATCGTCACTTTCCTCAAAATTAAACCTCTCCAAGTAGGTAAACAGAGTATAGGAGTTTGAGCAAAATTTAGCCCGCCTGGTCTGTTGTTTTTTAATGTAGTAGATGGCGAAAACTCACCGAAGCAAAATGGACTCCAAAAATTATTGCTTGCTTTCAAAATAGACAAAATATTGGCAGGATATAAAACATTACTTACGTTTATTATGTTATTGGCTATTTTAATTATAAAAATGAATTTAACAATTAAACTGCTTGTAAATAAGAGGAACTAGATAATTTGTTCAATTCTTATCAAAAAACTTTTTTCTTTTCATACTTATAAATTCCAAAGTTAATAATTAAAATAATAATAAAAAAGCTCTGTATAGTTTTACATTTAGTGTTACATCATTAATTTAAAACCGACTGATGAATAGATGAACACAGGATTTTTGTAATATTGATTTGCATCTACGCTAACCATGAAGGCAAACGTCAACCTATATGTGGTAAAAAAACAGACCCACCACAATTTGGTCCAGGTGGCGCGAGCGGCCACCTCGCTACCAAATCCAGTGGTGATGACCAAAATCGACGGCTCCCCTAGTCATACGGGTGATGACACCTTCTCCGAGTAAGTATTAAAAACTTTTGCCTGTCTCGGACCGCGTAATCCGCATAATCTCAATTTAATTGTATACGATACTTTAATAAAATCCGCAGTGAAGTGCAAGCACTCTTAATAAATAAGTTTAAATCGTATGTAAAACAAAAAGGCCTTGGAAAGGGTTATTATAACGTTAATCAATATTACGATAAAAATAGAGGTGTGGAGGAACACGCTCTAACAAGAAAAAATAGTTCCCTTAAAGTACTTACTACGTGAAAACTGTAAAATGAAACTCTGCGATAAAAGAAGTGGCGGCGAGTTTCTTGCCAGTTCTTCTCGTTCGTTCTACGTTCTTGATTTGAGAACTGCTTTTGACGTTCATAAGTGTACATACCTACATGAATACATGATTTTTGACTTTTACTTTGGCTTTTAGTCCACTTACCACAAACCACCGAGTCAATTATAATTGAGTCATAATTTAACTCATATTAATACGAAGTCGCGAGTCTCAGCTTATAAAACTTGTGCCCCGATGCCCAACTTTCGAATTCAATTACCTTCAGCCGGTTATATCGAGGTATCGCTTTTATAAGATCTTTTCCCTCGGCACTTTCAATTCCATACGTTTAGAGTTTCTTTGGAGCTTGTTCATGAATCGAAATTATTTGAATATTCATGTTATGCAAACTCTGCGTTTGCTTGTGTTTGCGTGTGTTGAAAATTAACTTTTACACGCACGATAACTACAGTCCTTTAAGAACAGTAACGGCCTTATTACAAAAAATACTTAAACCAGAACTGCGGAGTCTTGGTTTAACTCGTACACTATGGTCTGAATAAATCTAAGTTAGTACTAAGTTAAATCATTTTCAAATAAGTTCAACTAATATATCGCGTAAACCGTTAAAGTGTTTTATTTAAATGTGTACTACTCGCGTAAACTATAGACAGTATTTAAGGATATTGTAATAGAGAACACAAGTCAAGGATCCGAATATCCAAAACCAAAATAGGTCCATAGGAAATCTCGATCGGATATTATAAGGCTGGGATTTCACTATCAAGTAAAGCATATGCTAGTCAATCCTTTACTCTCATACAAATACTGTTTATAATAATTGAGAAGTAACTAATTCAGAAAATCCGAAACTTACAAGGGGTGAATACATGAAAAATTGTGTTTCACGTCGTGGCACACTATTTGTTAACTTTTGTATGAGACGGTACACCACTGGGTTACGTGGCAGCGTTACAGCGCTAGTCTGTCAAGTTATCACAGTCCATGCGCACTTTTTTCACCTTGTAGAAAGACATAATAAGCCGTAAAACATTTAATTTAACGAACATTATGTTGATGCGCCTCTTGTCCGTATTAAAAAAATGATTACAAGTTAAACATATATTGACGTTGCATATCGAGTTTCCAAAGCGAATTACAGTACTCACTTAAAAAGTAATCTATTGATTCCATTTTGTTTTAGTGTTCATTTTTAACGGTTCGAAACGTAAAACCAATATATGGTTAATTTACATTTAACTACGACTTGTCTACAATATTTTTCCAACGTAATCACGGAGATAATGATTTTATTGATATTGTTTGCAACGCATTTAATTGAGTGGTAACAAAGAAATATTATTCGTGTAATACCACCCAGATAATGTTAATTTGAATCGAGTTTCAAAGCGCGGAATTAGAATAACTCCGGAAGCTGGATAATTCTTGACCATTGCCCAATATCCGAAAGATTGGGACAGGAAAGCCTAAATTGAAGTGAAGTTTTCTCATTAATTTGATTACGTCGATCTCAGGGCCCGACCCGTGTCACAAGTTACTTCATTAGTTACGCAACTTGCTGAAAGTAATCCTGGCGAATTACGTTTTGTAAGACACGAATTATCCAAATTATGGTGACGCGGGAAATTTTTATTATCATCGAAGTCGACTCGGAAATGCACTTATATTATACTTATTTAAACAAGTATTTTTTGCTCAAACAGATAAATAATACACATTACTATGATCGTAAATAAAAACAGTTTTCAATGATTACTTAGGGGGAAAAACCCGTCTATCTGGCTCGGTTCTTACATAATCACACACAATGATTGGAATCAAATTTCGTTTAAAGCTTTAGTATAAGTAGTAGCCCCCCTGGAGGCCTGGTCACCACAAAAACCAATGACTATTGACAATTATTTTTCCCGTGTTAGCAAATATCTTTAACGGCGAAACAGAGACGGGCGTTGTATCAGTCACTTTTTTGTATCTTCCTAGTTTTTTCCTAAGGTGGGGGGTAACTACGCGTCTTTTCCCCTACCGGAATGTGCATGAATAGCAAGAAACGTTCTCGATTTAAATTATACAAACTAAAGAAGCCACATGCAAAAGCAAGGAAATAAAATTAATTTATTAAAGTTTTGAAAATTGGCTAACTATTCAGGATATTCGATTAAAAGTTGTAAAAAGTTATAAACGATCTCGAATACGTTAGTCTTAAGCGTATGTATGTTAATATTAGCGTAGTGTGGGTACTCTGAGAGCCACTGTTAAATTTCAGAGAATATATAAACTACAATATGAATGTTACAAGAGACAATACAATGAGTAATGGGCAAAACCAATATCCTATTGTCTATAGTTTTCGCGAGTAGTACACATTTAAATAAAACACTTTAACGGTTTGAAACGCGATATATTAGTTAAACTATTGGAAATGATTTTTAACTTCGGCCCGACGTTTCGGATGCTTTGCAGCAGCCGTGGTCACGGGGAGACTGAATATATATCGGGCTGAAGTAAAAAATCATTTCCAAAGAAGTTTAACTAATATATCACAATATCGTATTACCTACTTCGAGTACGTTCTAATAGAAAAAGATTTATTTTATTCAAATTTGAACTAAGCGCAAAATCTTTGGTTTAAATTTTTAAACGAAGATCTGAGATCAACTTGCGTTTAGCAAACAGACACTGATATAATATGTTTATTTCTTGCGCCACGTTTTCAATAACATAGAATGATATTTAACCTAAATAAAGACATCTAAGCCCCGTAAAAATGTAAAACAAAAACGCAACGCCTGCACGTCGGAGTGCTTTGAAAACATACAGCGGTTCTGATATGTAAATAAGACGAATCATAAAATTAGAATTTAAAATCAAAATTCAGTTTCCAGAGGTGTTTTTGTGGGCCGCGGCCTTCGGGGCATAGCGGGCATAACTTACGAATATTTATGTCGGCTATACCGCCGTGCCACCAACAGGCTTACGATATTTTCGGGCGAAAACTCGCTTACAATATGCAATGTAATATTTTACGTTCAGCCCGACTTAAAGAAGTAACAAGATGGCGTCTTCATAATCTACATGATTTTTATGGCATCCCCATTCAGTATACAGGGGAGAGAGATTTCAAAATTATTTAAATGGAGAAAACAGTTTTAGAATAAAAAGTACTGTCTGAAGTTACGCCAGTAGTACACATTTAAATAAAACACTTTTAACGGTTTAAAATGCGGAATATATTAGTTAAACTTAAATTAATTACGATTCGAAGTTTTAGTTGCTTTACATCATAAGCTGTTTTATTTAAATGTGTACTACTCGCGTAAACTACAGAAAATTGGTGTATTTATTTCAATTAATAATGCTATTCTACTCCCCGTATATAAAAAAATTTAAAATTTAATCTATTTATTAATTACTTGTTGTTGGATGACTATGTGTAATTTCAATACAATATGTCGGTATACTAACGATGTTTTCCTTCACCGAGGAGCACAAATAGCACGTGATGGGCTTAAAGATAAGAATATAGTGCACGACTGAGAAACGAACTCCTGACCTCACGTAATATTAAGTTCAAATGACCTAGCTAAATTATTTTTCATTTAATGTGACCAGTTTAATTTATTACATCTATAATATGTATTTGATGAAATGAAAAAAGTATTTAATACCGTCTGTAGTTTACGGGAGTAGGAGACATTTAAATAAAATTATTTTAACGGTTTAAAACGTAAAAAGTATAAGTTGACCTAATTTACAAATAATTCTATCCAGCTCGACGTTTCTGCTGCAAACTGAATCCTGGAAAATGTCAGGACGTAGTTAAAATATTTTGTAAATAAGTGTAACTAAGAAATTACGCGTTTTAAACCGTTAAAAATGTTTTATTTCAACAAAAATGTAATATTTTAGGTATAAATAAGTTTTAGGTGTCCTATAAATTCTAAACACATAATTTTTTATTGCATTATACAAAACCAATGCCCATGTTATACCTATAGCGTTATAAGTTTGGCAACGAAATGTTTGTGCATTGTATTAACTGGCCCGCGGTAAGCGAATTTCGATGCAAGCTCCCAAAAAGCTCGATGAAAGGAGATGTAGCAAAGTGTTGAAATTAACGTTTTAAGGGCTTACAGCATGAAAGCCCGAAAGCTGCGTTGTCGCTGACAAGCAACTTAATTAACTTCCTGATATAAATACCTTAATGAGACAAAACACAGTGGGTAGTTTCACTAAGTCGTATATGATTTTAGGCAGAATTTAAATTATCGTTAAAATTAATTTGTTGGATTAAAATATTGTTTCTAATTTTAATTTGATTTTTTATTTATCTAAGTATAAGTATTTTCGTCCGTGCGTTTCGTCCTGTTTTTTTAATCTACACCACTCGTGCAAACTTAAGAAGTAACTTTTGAATGTGTTTAATGTACTTGCTCGTTAAATTTAAAATATAAAAATTTTTTTTTATTTTTTTTTTATAAATTAAAATTTAAAAAATTTTTAAAAAAAAAAAAAAAAAAAAAAAAAAAAAAAAAAAAAAAAAAAAAAAAAAAATTTTTTTAAAATAATTTTTTTTTTTTTTATTTTTTTTTTATAATATTTTAATTTTTTTTTTTTCCCCCCCCCCCCCCCCCCCCCCCCCCCCCCCCCCCCCCCCCCCCCCCCCCCTCCCCCCCCCCCCCCTCCCCCCTTTTTCCCCCCTCCCCCCCCTCTTTTCCCGTTTCCCCCCC